CTTCTTTCGCCTGTACGTATCCGTGCACTTCGCAGTAACTTCCGGCCGGACCAGCCGCTCCAGGAGTGTCCAACGTGAAGAGGGTGTTGGCTGAAGAGCTGACGCCGTCGTCGGACGTCTGTAGCAGGCTGGTAGCCTGCGACAGCGTGCGTTGCTGATGATGCTGGTGATGATGGTGATGGTACTGTTGCTGCTGTTGCTGTTGCTGCTGCAGCTGCATCTGCTGCTGATGCTGCTGCTGTTGTTGTTGGGCGAGCATCTCCTCGTGCCGACATTTCGCGCAACGACGCATCTCAGAGCGGACGCGCAGCAGCCAAACCATGCCGAAAAGCGCCATAGCAACCTCGAGACCCGCTGACCTCGATGGGTGCTTCATGCTCGCGGGGTCAAGGTCATCGAGGCTCCGGGAGCCAGCGCGACACATATCACCGACTTCGGCGCGGATTTGTCCTCCTCTCTTTTTCTTTCTCTTTCTCTCTCCCTTCTCTCTCTCTCTCTCTCTCTCTCTCTCTCTCTCTCTCTCTCTCTCTCTCTCACCCCTTTCCCTCTCTTTCCCTTCTCTCTTTTTCCCTTTCTCTTTTCCTCTCTCGCTTTTTCCGAACTTTCTTTCCTTCGTATTTTTTTAACACGCGCCTGGCTTTACGAGATTACAATGAGGAAGTCTCAATGAAAAGAGGCGCTTTCACGATCGCGTCATCGCCGTCTCCGTGACGATTTTCTCGAAGTTTTTCGCGTAATTATTAATGGCAGTGTGTAGCTATCCTCGAGGAATTTCGGTGACCTCGTCTACTCTGGACTCGGAGAGCAGAGCCTCGGCTAATTTCGTAATCTATCGGGTTGTTAATTATCACTTCGCAATTCCTCGGGTGGAATTTCTATTCTCGTCGGCAGCTCCTGATGTTTGTCGCCAATTATCCTTCTGCGCGACCTATATTCGCGACGTTCGACATCGCATACAGCGGGACAATCCAATTTGACGTTCATTCTCCCGTGACGATTGGGAAGAGTCGAACTTTAGGGATGGACCGGTTACATCTCATCAGTTTTTGAATCCCTGTTACGTGAGCCTTTCTTCCTTGTTCTCTCTCTCTCTCTCTCTCTCTCTCTCTCTCTCTCTCTCTCTCTCTCTCTCTCTCTCCCTCCCTCTCCCTCCCTCTCTCTCTCTCTCTCTCTCTCTCTCTTTCTGTCTGTTATTCTCTCGCTCTTTCTTTACCATCGGAATAGGAAGAGCGTATTGCGCTGACCGACCGACGCGTCACATTCTTCGCAGGTAATCCGTCAGGATGAAACTGTCTCGCAATTACGCACGGAGAGAGCAGCCTGACGAAACGAACGGCTGGAAATTACAAAATTCCTCTTTTCCCTGATGTCTCCGAAGACGAACGGTTACTCGAAAAATTCAGCAGACCAGCGAGGCACCGTTCGTCCGGAGGACTGCTCGATAACCGTCGACGGCGACGTACTTGGTAGCGATGCTCTATAAAATGGTGCGCTCGTGCGAGGATAATGAATCGGTCGGTAGGAATTTCGTGTCTCGGCGCGAAGGAACTATATTTCATCTCATCCTGGACCACTCGAGACGTTCGAAGGGGCGATGACTCGAGTTTGTCGAGAATAACCCATCGGGAAGATCCGCTGCGTTAGAAACGGCGTTGCAAAAAAGTGAGGCTCCTCCAAATCGCTCGCGAACGATATCGCACGAGCGTCGACTCACTCGATTCTCTCTCTCTCTCTCTCCGGTATATGCGTTCGATTAAACGACGCCTCGAGGGGAGGAAATACTCCCAGTGCGCGCGATTGCTAATTTACAATCCGCCTGTTCGCGGCGGTGAATTCCCCCGAGCTCGCTCGCGACCTCGCGGACTCGCGTCAGAGCGACCGGAGCGAGTCCAAGGTACCGTTCCTTCCGTCTCGAGACGACGGCGACGGGTAGGACGCTGCTGATCGATACAGCCTTAATACGGAAGCTAAGCGATTGGTCCCGGGCACTCTGACACGATACTCCTATAAAAGTACAAAAGAGTGCGTCCCCGAGTTGTCGAGCGTGGATCCCATATTTCCCAGGAACTATCCCGCGCGATCATCACCGTCCGTTTCGCCTCTCCTACCCCCCCTCGACTCTCAACGAGCGAGTTCCGTTCCCAAATGACTCTGTCCCCGGCGACCTCCGCCTCCTTCGTCCCCTCTGCCAGATTCCTCGCGACCCATCGAGCTACACAGCACTGACGTTCACTCCGAAGTGCCGCACTGGAAATGCGATTCCGTCCCATCGGGACGACACTTCCGGTCGCGGCTGTCTCACCCCTCACGCATGAGTGGCTTTCGCTCGGTCTTCATCCTCGTCGACGGTTGGCAGAGGAGGACAGGCGCCGGGGCGGAAGAGCGTTCGATAAACGGTCCGACCCCTTTCTCGGCAGTGTTTCGCTCTCTACGAGGCTTCGATCGACGTCGCTTTCTCAGAGATTACACGCGATGTTTGCGAGCGAGGCAGCCCGAGCCCGAGGAGTGCTGCTGGCTTTCCGGTCGCGGGCATCAGCTGCGGCAGGCAGGAGGCACGGTGAGAGTGGGGCTTGTTTTTCCTTTTGAGATCCCGCGTCGTCCCGCGAAAAGGGGGCAAAATGGAGGAAAAAAGATTCACCCGAGAATCGCGGCAATGGCGGACGTTCTTGGACAAGTGGATCCCGTTTGCGGTCGAACGATCGGGAGGATTTAGCTGAAACGAGGCTCCGCTCTGCGGGGTTGAGTGACTGCTCGGATTCGACCAGCCAGCGGCGAGCTATCAATTCCCGTCGAAGCTGAGCCTGACTGAATGGGTTCGCTGCTGTCAATCTGTCGGCGCACGTCCCGCGGAACCTTTGATGACTCGTCTTCAACGATGATCCCCCTTGGACGGTCAATAGAAAGACGACATTAATTTCGCCGTCTCTCCATCCACGCGCTGATCGACGCAAGATTATACGAGAACTCGCCGATAAGAATTCTCTCCCGGACTGTATCGGACCGTATCCCGAGTTCGATTTTCCCCGTCGTCGCGACTCGCCGCGGCCGCAATCCTCTCGACAGAATTTCGATCAGTGGCCGACGCGTCTCTTCAGATCATGATATTCGCCGTTGGACGTTCCATCGAGACGGGGCGATTCTTCCCCAACGACGAGAGGTCCTTCCAGGATTAGGATCACGCGCGCTTCAGTGCCGAGCGTTTCGTTTTGTACGCATGAGTGGATGAGGCGTTACCCCACGGGGATACAGTCGAGCTTTTGATATCCGGTGATAACCCGCGGCTGCCCCCGTACGTACGTGGGGAAGGAATTTCGAGAGTTTGCGGGTGAGAAGCATTCGCGAGGAAGGCTCGATAAGTGACCGGTTTCTTTTTCTTCGGGCCGTCGGTCGGTCGGTCGGTCGGGTGGGCGGGCAGGCAGGCGGACTTCGATACTCCCCTTTGGAAGGCTCCAGCCTCAGATTTCCGGCCGATACCTCCCCATTCTGTCCTGGAAAAGTCGTGGCAGAAACCTTCGAGAGTTACCGATGCGAGAAGCGCGGTCGATTTCGCTCGCGAACTCGATGCTCGCTCGAGGAGAATTTTTCAATGGTTCCTTTCCCGGCGACGGCTCCCTGAATAGCGAATGATCAATCCTCTCCCGCGGAATGATCGATACTCTATCGCGCTGTATTTATTCGTGCGCGGCGGCTCCCGAAGCTGCTGGCTCTCCGATGGAGGTCTCGTCCGTTTCACTCCAGTCTCGAGAGTTAAGAGTTATATTACGCGGCGGTTACGCAAACGCGACAGTCATGCGACGCATTCGCTACATAGGGAGAAAAAGATGGAGAGACTAGATATTACTTGCCTCTCCTTTACCTTCGTTCCGATATCATCTAGTAGCAATTTTTCCTAAACAGATTCACGCAAACAAGACCGATTCCTCGCGCGAACGCTGCGCGTAAATAAAAATCTGGAAACAACGTTATAAATACAAAGTTGAGCCACCCAATTGGCGCAGCCTCTATCGATCACGCCGATAATTTTCCGCGACGCCCATCGACGATGTAACGACAATGGAATAAAATGGTTCGCCGCCGGCGGGGTCGTAAATACAAATCGCGTCCAATAAAATAGGAATGTCAGCGAAGTTACAGAGATTGACTTCGTCGCGACGCACCCAGAGAGAGAGAGAGAGAGAGAGAGAGAGAGAGGGAGAGAGAGAAAGAGGGAAAAGGAGAGCGAAACAGAGAGAGCCATCCACGAGAGAGCTGTAAATTGCGACAGGGGACGCGGTATAAAGGGAGCTAGGCACACGGAAGTGTGTGCCGGGCCGAAATGCTCGAGGGGTGGAAACACTTGCGCGCTCTTCGGGAACAGCGACGTTGCTGGCAACTGCTCGGCGACTTCGACGACTCCGACTCCGACTCAGGTCGAGCTAAGGTGGCTTCCGTCTCGCGCGCACGTACACACGCGCCGGCAATTAGAACTTGCGCGAATTCTATTTCATAAACCGTTCATGCACGACGCGCGCGGCTCGATTTCGTCGCTACCGCCGCCGGCAATACGACTCGAAATCGAAAATTTCGCGTTGGAATCGCGAACACGCGCGTACAGCGCGTACTCGCGCGACTGTTGCACACACGCGCCCGTTGTAGACGCGCGGATTTGCACGATTCGCTCTCTGTGTTACGCGCGACAGGCTGAGTAGCTTGATAACTGGCTCGTCCGGCATCCCTTTTAACGCGCGGCTCGTTCGCCGACGCGCTGATTAAAAACGACGTTGTCCATGCGGTTTCGCGAGCGGAACGGCCGCCGTGTGAAGTGAACGCGCGGCCGTGTGTACACGTCGAAACGCTGTTTCGCGCACGAATGTGCGCGCAAAGCAACGCGCGCGCGACCGCACGTGTACCCGGACGGACGGCCGTTATAATATTTTACCCTTTATGCGCGCCGCTGCTTAATACGTCGTTATACTTTCCGAATTGCTCGTTTTCATTTAACATTTTTGCAGCTCTTTCCGTCGCGGCGCGGCCGCGCACGTTCGCGCATAAATAAAACGTCGCTGTCGCTGTGCGCGCTTTCTCTCTCTCTCTCTCTCTCTCTCACACACACACACACACACACACAAATTCGCTGAATAAGCGACAGATTTTGTGAACGAACAAATTTTCATCGCAGGAACTCATTTGGCGGGTTATCCCTCCGTGCCGCGTCCGATATATCGATTTGAACGGAAGAGCCGACAAACCGCGAACGAACGCGATTATGTTGGGAATAATGCAGGCGACTCGATGACCGGTGCACCGATTTGCTGCCGCAATAACGCACTCACGGGGGATCGACAGAAATTACAGAAAAAAGGGAAAAAAGCGGGAAACGAGGGCAAACGAAAAGAAATAACAAAAACCGGCCGATTACAAACGCGAAGCTCGACACATCGTGCTTCCTCTCTCTCTCTCTCTCTCTCTCTCTCTCTCTCTCTCTCTCTCTCTCTCTCTCCTCCCCCCCCTCCC